AACCATTTGATTAGGCCTAGTTCTTCTGCCTACAGGTCAGCTATGGCATTTTGAGACATAATTCCATTTTGGCCCCCAGTCACAACTGAGACCTCAATGATCCAGTGATGCTGTGATGCTCCAGGACAAGGTTACACCAGCGGGAGACATCCTGGGAGGAACAAAATCTTCATCTACTCAGTTCTTCATTGTTCTTGGATTGTTACACTTTGTTTATGCTGATGTACTGAACTCTCTGGAAGTCATTTGTTGCACCTTGTTTATCCCGATGAACTGAACTCTCTGCAAGTCATCTGTTACATCTCTTTCTCCTGATGTGCTGAATAAAAGTTGTGGTAAGCTGGGGGCTTTCGTCTTTGTTAATTCGCCTTGTGCTGCCGTGGCTCGCAGGAGACTAGGACTTACTGCAGAGGTCCTAATAACGTCTCCTTTCCCTGTTCCCCACACACATCTGCCCACATTATTTACTTAACATTAGCAATTCGATATCTTCTACTATCAAAATCATTTTTAAAACATATACTCTGCCTCTTCAATTAAAAATGTAATTTCCTTGATATGAAGGACCCTGTAAACTTTTAATCCCAAGACTTCTCTAAGTACTCTGCATAAAGCAAACATACCCTGCCCTTTCCTCTGGGAATTACTATTCATGGATTTTGCTGGTGTTTACTGGATAGTTCATGTTAGGAGCTGTCCTAGGCCCTGAACATCAAACTTAATACTGCTGTTTTCCTATTGTGCAAAAAAGGAAATGGAAGAGTAGAGAAATTACTTGTCTAAAGTCATCAGGCTAAGAGGTGGTAGAAAGCATTCAAACTCAAGGAGGCTGATTCCACAGCCTGTCATGTGATTTCTCCCTTATCATGTGTGAATAATTTGTTTCCCTATGATATTAATACACTTTGTTTTGTTATAACAGAATGACACAGGCAGGGTAATTTATAAAGAACAGCAATCTATTTCCTCACAGTTCTGGAGGCTGGCGAGACAGAGATCAAGATCAAGGTGATATTGGGCCATGGATTTAGCTCAGTGGTTCTGGTGCCTGCCTTGCAAGTGCAAGGTCCCAAGTTCGATCCCCGGTACCAAAAACCCCCAAAAAAAAAAAAAAAAAGTAACAAGATCAAGGTGATACAATTGCCTGAGAGCTTTTTGTTGCACAACCTCATGGCAAAAAGTAAAAGGGCAAGAGTTGACCTTGTTCTTTTATAAGGAAGCCACTCTTACAAAAATAGCATTAATCCACTCAGAAAGGGAGTGCTCCCATGATTTAAATATCTCCCATTAGGTCCCACCTTCTAATATCTCTGCATTATGACAGGATTTATATCTAGTTTGGCAACTACTAACTGGCACGTAATCCTTTCGAGGATTAAGTGAAGCTACCTTAAAGATATTTTTCAAGCATAACCTCTTTTTTTGTTTTTTTTTCAAGCATAATCTCTTAAAAACATCAAGGAGACTAAAAATTATTTAGAAGCACAGGTTGATTATAAGGTCCAATTCTCCACTAACTGGGTTGCTTAAACAAAATGGACATTTTGTTTTGTTTTGTTTGGTACCAGGGATGGAACTCTGTACCTTGAACTTTCAAGGCAGGCAGCAACACCACTGTGCTTAATCCCTGGCCCGAAATGTACAGTTTTAATCCATCTGCAGTAACAGAAGAGACTTTTAAGGAAGGCAGAAGTGGGCTGAATGCCACTGCTGCTATGTGATCTAGAAATATTGGGTATTACTTCTGGGTTCCATAAAATTGAAGCCACTAAGACCTGCTTTATAGGATTCACAGAAAGAATGTGTCCCCAGTCTACATAAGTTTTCAATAAATGCTGTCTCTCCTTTTGTCTCTAATAGGGACCAAAACTAGCCTTAATGTGCATTTCTCCACTTCCCATGCCACTAGTTAGCACAGAAATCTAACTATACTTTATCTCTGAATAAGTATCTCTGAAGCTCTAAATCTTCAATTGTTCTCCACAAACTAAAAGAACAGACTCCCAAATTCCTCCTAACAGCTTCATTCCTCTTTTCCTCAATGTCCTCCCTCTTCTGCCTCCTAAATCCTCAAATTATTTCCAAAGAGCCAGTACTCATTGCTCTCTCCTCTGAACTCAGGGCTATTGCAGACCACTTAGGATTTGTTCCATATCAAAATGATATGTGATTAATTGTACTTCTAAATTCTTCAAGAAAAGATAAACTCTTTGAAGGTAGAGTTTTCAGTCTTTATTATTTTTACCGAAGTACACAATGCATTATGCATAGCAGTAAGAGCTAATATTTACTGAAAGCTATGTGTTGAGTGCTATTCTAAGTACCTTACATGAATATATGAACTCATTTACTCTTCACAACAACCCTATGGAATAGCTACTATTATTCTTTCCATTTTGCAGATCAGAAAGCTGAGATCCAAAGAGATTAAACTCAAGGTTATGCCACTAGGAAATAACAGCACTTGGATTCAGTCCCAAGCAGCCTGGCTGCAGAATTCACATTCTTG